ATCTGCAATTTCACACTAGGCTATGGAAAACACACAGACACACGCATATACAGTGGACCCCTGTTAAAATGTCAGGTTTCTGTGATGTTAAAAAATGAGACAAAGATAAATCATTTCAGAACTTTTTCCACCTTAAGGGCTTGTTCACACTTGGCTGTTTTACCAACGCTTGCCAAACGCCCCTATAGTGTTTGGCAAGCGTCGGTCCGGCGTTTGCGGAGCGTTAATAACTCCCCACAAACGCCTATAATGCAGTTTGAGTGGTGTTACCGCTCCGCAAATGCCCTGCAACCGCACCACAAACGCCGGCCGGGCGTTTGCGGAGCGGCACCATAGACGAGAATAGGAGGCTTCAAAGCCTCCTGACTCGACCAGAGGCGTCCGTTTTGCCGCGACCCAACACGACGTGACGCAAACGCTCCCGTTAGAACAGCACCATGTGCTGTAATGTGCGGAATTGGCAGAGGCGTTTGGGAAGCGGTAAAAACACTTCCCAAACGCCTCTCTGCCGCCTGCACACAACGCTAGTGTGAACGTAGCCTTAATGTGACCTATAAACTGTACAACTCAGTTGAACAACAAACTGAAATCTTTTAGGTGGAGGGAAGTAAAAATAACAAACTAAAATAATATGGTTGCATAAGTGTGCACACCCTTAAACTAACACTTTGCTGAAGCACCTTTTGCTTTTATTACAGCACGCAGTCTTTTTGGATATGACTCTTATCAGTAAGAAACATTCATACTTAGCAATATTTGCCTACTCTTCCTTGCAAAAACATTGCAAATCTGTCAGATTGTGAGGGCATCTCCTGTGCAAAGCCCTCTTCAGATCACCCCACAGATTTTCGATCGGATTCAGGTCTCAGCTCTGGCTAGGCCATTCCAAAACTTTAATCTGCTTCTGGTGAAGCCATTCCTTTATTGATTTGGATGTATGCTTTGGGTGGTTGTCATGCTAAAAGTTCCTCTTCATGTTCAGCAGAAGCTTGAAGGTTTTGTGCCAGTATTGACTGGTAGTTGAAACTGTTCATAATTCCCTCTACCTTGACTAAGGCCCCAGTTCCAGCTGAAGAAAAACAGCCCCAAAGCATGATGCTTCCACCTCCATGCTTCACTGTGGGTATGGTGTTCTTTTAGTGATGTGCAGTGTTCTTTTGCGCCAAACATATCTTTTGGAATTATGGCCAAAACGTTCAACCTTGGTTTCATCAGACTATAACACATTTTCCCACATGCTTTTGGGAGACTTCAGATGTGTTTTTGCAAAATTTAGCCGGGCTTGGATGTTTTTCTTCGTAATAAAAGGCTTCCGTCTTGCCACTCTACCCCTTAACCCAGACATATGAAGAATATGGGAGATTGTTGTCACATGTACCACACAGCCAGTACTTGCCAGATTGCAGCTCCTTGAATGTTGCTGTAGTCCTCTTGGCAGCCTCCCAGACCAGTTTTCTTCTCGTCTTTTCATCAATTTTGGAGGGACATCCAATTCTTGGTAATGTCACTGTTGCGCCATATTTTCTCCACTTGATGATGACTATCTTTACTGTGTTCACTGTGTTCCATGGTATATGCAATGCCTTGAAAATTCTTTTGTACCCTTCTCCTGACTGATACCTTTTAAGAATGAGATTCCTCTGATGCTTTGGTAGTTCTCTGCGGACCATGTCTTTTGCTGTAGGATGTGACTAAGAAAATGTCAGGAAAGACCTACTAGAACAGCTGAACTTTGGGGTTAATCAGAGGCACATTAAATGATGGCAGGTGTGTACTGACTCCTATTTAATGTGATTTTGAATGGGATTGCTTAATTCTGAACACAGCTACATCCCCATTTATAGGTGTGCACACTTATGCAACCACACATTATTTTAGTTTTTTAAGATTACTCCCCCCCCTAAAAGATTTCAGTTTGCTTTTCAATTGAGTTGTGCAGTTTATAGGTCACATTAAAGGTGGACAAAGTTCTGAAAAGATTATCCTCGTCCCATTTTTTACATCACAGAAACCTGACATTTAACAGGGATATGTAGACTTTTTATATCCACTGTATATATATATATATATATATATATATATATATATATATATATATGCATATATACTGCAGACAAAAATTAAAGGAGCACTTTTTAATCAGAGTATAGCATCAAGCATCATGTTAATTAAGCTTTTGGCATATTGATCTGGTCAGTAAGTAGTAGAGGGGGTTATTAATCAGTTTCAGCTGCTTTGGTGTTGATGAAACTAACAACAGGTGCACTAGATGGGCAACAATGAGGCGACCCCCAAAACAGGAATGGTTTTACAGGTGGAGGCCAATGACATTTTTTTTCCTACTCATCTTTTCTGACTGTTTTTCAATAGTTTTGGCACATGGCTAGGGTCAGTGTCACTACTGGTAGCATGAGGCGAAACCTGGACCCTACAGAGGTTGCACAGGCAGTCCAACTGCGCCAGGATGGCACATCAATATGTGCCATTGCCAGAAGGTTTGCTGTGTCTTCCAGCACAGTCTCAAGAGCATGGAGGAGATTCCGGGAGACATGCAGTTACTCTAGGAGAGCTGGACAGGGCCGTAGAAGGTCCCTAACCCATCAGCAGGACTGGTATCTGCTCCTTCGCACATGGTAGAACAGGATGAGCACTGCCAGAGCCCTACAAAATTACCTCCAGCAGGCCACTGGTGTGAAAGCCTCTGACCAAACAATCAGAAACAGACTTCATGAGGGTTGCCTTAGGGCCCAACGTCCTATAGTGGGCCCTGTGCTCACTGCCCGGCACCATAGAGCTCAATTGACATTTGCCATTGAACACCAGAATTGGCAGGTCCACCACTGGTACCCTGTGATTTTCACGGATGACAGCGGGTTCACCTTGAGCACATGTGACAGACGTGAAAGGGTCTGAAGAAGCCGTGGATAATGTTATGTTGCCTGTAATATCGTTCAGCATGACCGTTTTGGCGGTGGGTCAGTGATGGTCTGAGGAGACATATCCATGGAGGGACGCACAGACCTCTACAGGCTAGACAATGGCACCCTGACTGCCAATAGGTATAGGGATGAAATCCTTGGACCCAATGTCAGACCCTACACTGATGCAATGGGTCCTGGGTTCCTCCTGGTGCTCGACAATGCCCGGCCTCATGTGGCGAGAGTATGCAGGCAATTCCTGGAGGATAGCAGAGCAATACAAACAGCGTACTTACACAGTAAAACACTGCACACAGCACACAGTAAAACACACACAGTTAACCCTTTGATTGCCGCAGATGTTGACCCCTTCCTGCCCAGTGTCATTAGTACAGTGTCAGTGTTTTTTATTAGCACTGATCACTGTATTAGTGTCACTGGGGATGTCAGTGGCAGTTAGTCATTTCACCCCCAGTGTCAGAATGCCCGCTGCAGTCCCGCTATAAGTCGCTGATCGCCGCCATTATTAGTATAGAAAAAAAAATCCCAGTATATATACCACCATTTGTAGACGCTATAACTTTCACGTAAACCAATTAATTTACACATATTGGGATTTTTTTTAGCAAAAACGTGTCAGAATACATTTTGACCTAAATTTATGACAAAATTTTATTTTTTTAATTTTTTACTGGATATGTTTTTTATAGCAAAAAGTAAAAAATATTGTTTTTCTTTCAAAATTGTCAGTCTTTTTTTGTTTATAGTACAAAAAATAGAAACTACACAGGTGATCAAATACAACCATAAAAAAGCTCCATTTGTCAGTTAAAGTAATGCAGCGCCGTATCGCAAAAAATGGCCTGGTCAGTCAGGAAGGGGGGTAAATCCTCTGGAGGGCAAGTGGTCAAATACAGAACAGTGAGGGTATAGAAGGTACCAGCACCCATAGCAGAGTGGTCCGTCAGGCAACACATAGGATCAAAATATCTTATTTATTTTTATTGTGGGCTTGGCAGCATGGATATATTGATATATTGATATCCCTTGTGGGATGTTCCCAGTCTGCAGTGGTCAGGACCTACCAAAAGTGGTCCAAGGAAGGAAAACGGGTGAACCAGCGACAGGGTCATGGGCAGCCAAGGCTCATTGGTGCATATGGGGAGCAAAAGCTGGCCTGTGTAATCCAATCCAATAAAGGAGCTACTGTAGCTCAAGTTGCTGAAAAAGTTAATGCAGAGTCTATCAGAAAGGTGTCAGAACACACAATGCATCGCAGTTTAAAGCACCCACAATGTGCATGTGAGTATCAGAACTGGACCACCAAGTAATGGAAAAAAGTAGCCTGGTCTGATGAATCATGCTTTTTCTTTTACATCATGTGGATGGCTGGGTGCATATACGTCACTTACCTAAGGGAGAGATGGTACCAGGATGCACTATGGGAAGGAGGCAAGCCAGAGGAGGCAGTGTGATGCTTTGTCTAGTGGAGTCCATGCCTCGATGGGTCAGGGCTGCTTTACTTGCAAAAGGGGGACCTACTCAATATTAGGTGGGTGGTGATAATATTTTCTTGATGAGTGTTACCCTTGTACTGGATTTTGTTTTGAAGTGTGTGTCAAGCCTACAACTTTTTTCTAGGTTTAGAGTGTGGAATAATTAGAATTCTTGTTGACTTTCTATTACTGTCCACAGCTCAGTTAGAGATTTACCCTCTCTTCATGTACTGTTGATAACATTTTTACAAACACGAAGTGAGGGGAACCCTCCACTGGCAACACAGACAGAAATAAAAATCCTTTTTTCTTAATAGGGTAGGGGAAGGCAGATTTTTATTTCTGTGCCCTTGTTACAGATTTTACCACACTTCCTTTCTCTCAACAAGACAGGAAATTAAGGTAAAACCTCTCTAAAAGGGCCCTAAAAACCAGTAAAAACCTGACATCTAAAACTAGAAAAATTTTTTTTGGCTTGAGTTACAATAACTCATAGCTTTATTTGTATTGACCATCCATTTGTGGTATGGTGTAATTAACCTATATTGCATTAATGTATTACATCTTTCAGGAGGAATATGCCAAGATGACCGTCACATATTCCAGTAAAGTAGCCAATGCTACATTTTTTGGTTTCCACCGGTTACTACTGAAGTGGAGAGGCAGCATTTATAAATTACTCTACAGAGAGTTCCTTCTGTTCATCAGTTTATATACATCACTGAGCGTCATATACAGGTACATTCTGTTGTATATTTTTCATCAGACCATTATGACTGTGAACAGTGCATACAGGACATGCATGCTGACATACCTTTATGAACAATAGGCGTTTTGGGGGAGATTTACTAAAACTAAAGAGTGCAAACTCTGGTGCAGCTGTGCATAGTAGCCAATCAGCTTCTAACTTCGGCTTGGTCAGTTAAGCTTTCACAATAAAGATTGGTTTCTATGCAGAGCTGCACCAGAGTCTGCACTCTCCAGTTTTAGTAAATCCCCCCATTTGTCTCTTTATTTTACCTGGTGAAATTTAACTTTTTTAAAATAAAAATGGTAAATATATAGTTGTTTAACATTTAACACCACACAACACAAGCAACCCAATTGGTTAATAACACATTGTAATAATCTAAACTATGGAGAATCTCCACTAATACGGAGCAAACAAGGGCTGGCTTTCCAGGTAGGCACATTTAGACATTGTGCCAAAGAGCCAAAAATGGTCCTATACAGGGGCAGACTGACAACTCATTGGGCCCCCGGGCAATAGGGGATCATGGGGCCCCTGTGTCCTTGCCCACACTCAAAAAATCCTATGAAAAAGGTACCAGGAGCATTTCATGGGGCCCCCTACTGACCCTGGGCCCTCGGGCAGTGCCCGAGTGCTCAAATGGTCAGTCCGCCCCTGGTCCTATGTATAAAGAGACTTCAAACAAGATTTTTTTCCTGGCCCCATGCAACCACTCAGAATCACTAATGTGGGCTCAGCTAAAAACCGGTACCGCTCTAATGCTCCAGAAGATGGGTCTTGTGGCTGGTAACACTGTATGCTGGTTGGGATGTAAGGCTTGTCAGGCTCAGCTTAGACTACAAGAAATTGGTGCCCGGCCACACACAGAAACAGCAGACTACAAAGCTGAAATAGTAAAAGATAATGAGAATTGGCTTCAGCTTGGTTCTCCACCCATAGAAGAAACATGTTTGGCACCACCACTCACTTATCCACCAGCAGACTGCATTTATGAAAAGAGGAGAGCTCCCTCTGCCCTAATTTGTGCACCAAATATATGCCAATATTAGAAATGCAGAGCTTTAAATAAGAATAAAATGTAATTTAGAGCGTTTCTTTTAGTCAAGTATGCTAATTATCCCAAGAGTGGGTTGTCTTTAATAATATCCAGAAATGGAGTTTCCAAGGCTGCCCTTATATTATCTAAATATGAATTTTCTGCATATAAGTGCTCAACTTAGGACTGTGCCAGAAATTGAGTGTGTAAATTCTGTTTGTGGTCTTACCCTAGGTTCACATATATGTGGCCGTGCGGGTCACGTTTTGCACAGGCACGAGAGCCCAATTATTTGAATGGACTCCCGTGCCCCGTGACACGCAGGGAAGGAGTCCCTGCACTTCTGAAAACGCAGCCCTCACAGAAACCTCGGTTCCCAGTACGGTTGTGTCATCCAGTGCGGATGGCGTGCCATTAGAACTAATGGCACCCGCCCGCGGGTTCGCATTCCTCTGTGCGGGTGGTGCAGCTGCACGGATTTTCGTGCGGATCCGCAGCCGCACCACCCGCACAGATGTGAACCTAGCCTTAGTGTAAAAAAGGCCAAGGCTGTAAATTGTGGGAGTTGTAAAGAACTTTATCCAAAGGCTTTTACTGTCCATTAATCTTGGTCTTTGTGCTGTCCAAACAGGGTATGACATTGAAACAACCATTGGGCTCTCATAGTATTACTTGTCTTTAAAGTTTGCATTTTGGTGGATGGACTTAAGCCATAATGTACAAGTATGCACAACATATTTTCACATTATAGCAGACTTACCTGTCAAGGGACCCCGCCAGCCCTGTGATTGCTTGGTTCCCCTTTGATGCTCTGTCATTTCTATCTTTTCCCAACGTTCTTTTGGGTCAGGAGTCTCCATCTGCCTTGATTGAGCAGGCCAGGATAACACAACTCCTTGACCTAGAATATTACAGATTCCAGGATTGTACAATGAGCTGTGCATGCGGCTGGCAGTTTTCCCATCCTTAGATACCTGCTAGCAGGCAAGAAGAAAGATTTAAATCCAATAACCATCTCTTCTTTCCCCTAGTACGTATCTGCTAGCAATTTTTTGCTTTACAAATTTAATTCTGCATTAAACTGATTGTTAAACTGACATATTGTTTAAGTCAGTAATCTGGCTTTAAAGGGTAACTCCACTTTAATGGGGGAAAAGAATGAGCAAATAAAAAAAAATAATATAGCATATAATTGAGATACAAGTCATAGTAAATTAAATGTTATTAAAAATTACCTTTCCTTTTCAATTTGCAGTACTGTAATTTTCTGTAAAATATAATGTGATATAGCTACCTGAAGGTATTCTGTACACAGATGGTGTACACAACACACCCCAGAAATGTCATTTCGTGCTTGTGTGATTGGCTTATTGATTTTCCCAGAAATCTGAACTAAGATACAAATCAGATTTTGAGCCTCTCGGGCAACACAAATGTCATTTTTGGTGAGATACTTCCAAAGAGAAATCACGTCTAAAGGGATGCAGACCTTGCAGTTTTTCTCATTAGAACCCTGCAGGTGCAGCAGCTGATAGATAATTATTAAGTCATTCCCATACAGATTCACTCTGCACATGGACACAGATAAACAAACAACAATTTCTTCATAATAACAAAAGGTAGGGATCTGCAACAAAGCTTATTAAAATCCTTGAAATGTACATAGATCACCCTGAGGGGAATATTTTTTTATCAACAAAATTGGAGTTACTATTTAAATGGCCATTCATATTGTTTTATTACTGTAATATTTTGTTTTAATCTAGTGTTTACGTATTTACTTGATTGTTGTATCATATTTGTAGAAGTGAATTATATACAGATATGTTCCTTTCAGACAACCAGTCAGCATTACTGATAAAATCTCAGATTTATAGGCAGGTGGTGTTTTAAATAAATCTGGTCAGATTTTTAGACATTCAATAAGAAAGAGAAAATTAAATTGTAATCACTATCAATAATTAAGCACAGTCTGCATATATACTGAGAAGAAACTTTATTGACCACTGTGGGCAAAACCCCAAACTTTTGTTCCCATTTTTCTTTTTACCCATTTTTATAAATAGGCCTCAAAATTAACAAAAAATGCTTCCCAATATACCCCCATATTAATACTTTATACTCTGTTTAGCTTCTTCTACATTGTTGGAAGTTAAATATATTTGCCTTAAAGCAGTAATAAACCCAAAAGCAAACATCTATTATATTGCAGCTTATCAATTTTTAGATGTGATGGCTGTATTAGTTTCCTTTTTTGGCTTTCTTCTCTTTTCATCTGGTGATTCAGGCAGCAACTCTGCTGTTTTTCAGAAGTTCAGACTCTAAAGCAGAATGTAACAGTTTACATGGATGAGACTATCCATTTACCACTGGCAGGAGTGATTAAAATGATCAGCTTTTATTTATTTATGTAAAACCTTTATCCCAAAAGGAAACAAAATGTTTGCTATAACTGATTATAAAGTTTTAGCAGGAGTTTGGCTTCAGTTTGTTATTTGTATTCAAATCTGCTATTACATTTAACTTTCCCATCCCCCCAGACAGATAATACTACTGTCTGTTGTGTCCTGTGCTCATTCCTCCAGAGTGGCATCTCACTAATGCTGGAGGTGTGTTACTGTAACTGGCCAGGTCATTAGATGAATTGATGATTTTGCGAGCATTTAGCACTTTAATGTCATTTTTCAGACTTTCAAAGACTTACCTAGGTGTTGGTACCAAAAAGTAGCTGCTGCAAGCTTTCTTTGACAAGCTAAAGCCTTTATTTTTTTATTCTCTGATCATGATTTCACTTTATTTTTAAAAAAGTGACTCTGTCAGCAAACTGAAACTACTTTTAAAGTGTTAATCATTTTGTCTCCTGTTGCTCTTATTGGTTCTACCTTACTACTTCTATGTTGCTGCCCCAGTTAATATTGCCAGAATGCAACAACAATAAGATCAGCAGACAAATGCTAGAGCAGTGTTTCTAAACCTTTTTGCAATCAAGGCATCCTTTAAAATTCTGCACAATCTTGAGGCACCCATTACAAAATGTAAAAAACTAAACTAATAGTTTTACAAAACACAGCAACATCTGCACATGTAGGACACCAAACTAAAGTGATTTATTCTTCCAAAGCAAATACTGTACACTTTTGCACACTGGTACTGACTAGTATTCCATTGTTTCTCTTCTCCCTCAGTTTTATCCCTCTCTCACTCAACTAATGTGGCCCTAGTGCTGACGGAGAGAGGGGCAGGGGAGGGGCAAGCACGGATGCTGTGCTGGTGCCTAATGTCCTTCTTATCAACTGATGACATCAATGGTTGTTATGTCACTGGCGGCTAGAAAGTTGTAATGGTGTACAATGAAAACCTGCACCTTTTGTGTAACTAAAAAGGCAGACTTGATCCACCTGCTGGCTTGCATACAATTTTTTGGACAATTTTAGGCATTTTGTCAAGGCACCCCTGAAGAAACCTGAAGGCACACCAGGGTGCCTGGGCACCTTGGTTGAAAAAAGGCTGTGCCAGCAATATACCAGCAATCTCTGAGGAAGAGCAATTTAAGTCTAGATTCACACTTGAGTGTTTTTCATTACACAGTCTATTTAACATGATTTCCTATGGATCTAGTTCATACCTGTGCATTTTGAGCCAGTGCTTTTTTTTGAAAGGGTCAGGTACTTTTTGTCCCACGGCAGATTGTGTTTTTTGTGCAATAGACTTTAATGGAACTGCACTAAAAATGCAAGTGTTGTGTTTTTTTATGTGTTTTGCTTTTTTTTTGCTAATAGAAAAGTATGACAGTCCTGGTCATGTAGTGAGACTTTGATGAACTTTACACTCTCTGACACTCAAGTAGCATCAAAGTAGCATCAAACTTGCATAGAAGTCTCATCAAAGTAGTGCAGGAACCTTTATGTGTCTAAAGTCGCATATTAGAGTTAAGGCTAGGGTTAAGGTTAA